ATATATATATATATATATATATATATATATATATATTTACTAGTTTAGCAATTTTTGCTATTTGTTACAGCCGGTTTTATGATTTATGCACCTCTGCCACACTGCACAGTCAAGCAGGAGACACATACATTTCTTTGTTCCGTAATACTGCATTTTGTGTCACGTCTCTTCCTCCAGCCTGTTCACTGAATGATGGATCCAATGCATAAGGAGTTAAACAGGACAGTAAAAAGTAAGATTTACCATTAGCAGAGTGGGGATGAGGTTCAGGTTAACTGCTACTTTTTTGGATTTTCATTTAATTTTTTTATGCAGAAGGGTCTTTTTTAAATTCCAGGGTGCTCAAAGTGCAGCATTTCACACGTTACTGACCATCTGCTCTTGGGCCTGGCTTTTGTTCTCAACCCAAATAAACAAAAAAAAAGTGTAAGGACAGTCTACACGTAAACCACCTTGCTTTATTTTACTCATAAACACAGGATCCCTCCTACATCTCCACAGCCAAAATAAAAGATAGGCATACAAAGGTTAGGCCTATTATCCCTGATTAAATCTTTTCTGCTGCTGGCCAGTTTTACTCTGCTGAATCCTCGGTAGTGTCTTAATTTTTGTAATAGTCTTTTTAGTAGCGTTGTATATATCAATGGCTGGCCAAACTTACATCTTCTTTGATAAGTAGCCCTGACCCTTTAACAGAAGCTGTAAATCAGCTTACTCATCAAACAGGGAGTAACTATAACTTGCAGTTAATCAAACAGGTGCAATATTAGAAAGCATACTGAAAGCAGTTTCAGGATGGCAAAAGCATGCATACACTGTTTGATAATAGCAAAGAATACACATACACTGATTTTAAAAGCTTCACAAACATGGACTCTTCGTGACAATGTACACTTTATTGCCAAAAGTATTGGGACACCCCACCAAATCATTGGATTCAGGTGTTCCAAACACCCCCATGGCCACAGGTGTATACAATTAAGCACCTAGGCATGCAGACTGCTTCTACAAACATTTGTGAAAGAATGGGTCACTCTCAGGAGCTCAGTGAATTCAGGCGTGGTACCATGATGGGTTGCTACCTGTGCAATAAGTCCATCTGTGAAATTTCCTTGCTACTAAATATTCCATGGTCAACTGTTAGTGGTATTATAACAAAGTGGAAGCATCTGGGAACAACAGCAACTCAGCCACAAAAAATGACAGAGCGGGGTCAGCACATGCTGAAGCACACAGTGCGCAGAAGTTGCCAACTGTCTGCAGAGTCGATTGCTATAACCCTCCATACTTTTTGTGGCCTTCGGAATACCACAACAACAGCGCGTAGTGTGCTTCATGGAATGGGTTTTCATGGCCGAGCAGCTGCATCCAAACCTTACATCACCAAGTGCAATGCAAAGCGTCGGATGCAGTGGTGTAAGGCACACCACCACTGGACTCTAGAGCAGTGGAGACGTGTTCGATGGAGTGACCAATCACACTTCTCTGTCTAGCATTTTGATGGACATGTCTGGGGTTGGCGGTTGCCAGGAGAACGGTACTTGCCTGACTGCATTGTGCCAAATGTAAAGTTTGGTGGAGGGGGGATTATGGTGTGGGGTTGTTTTTCAGGGGCTGGGCTTGGCCCTTAAGTTCCAGTGAAGGGAACACTTAAGGCGACATTTTGGACAATTTCATGCTCTCAACTTTGTGGGAACAGTTTGGAGATGGCCCCTTCCTATTCCAACATGACTGCACACCAGTGCACAAAGCAAGGTCCATAAAGACATGGAGGAGCGAGTTTGGGATAGAGGAACTTGACTGGCCTCAACCCAATAGAACACCTTTAGGATGAATTAGAGGGAAGACTGCGAGCCAGGCCTTCTTGTACGACATCAGTGCATGACCTCACAAATGCGCTTATGGAAGAATGGTCAAACATTCCCATAGACACACTCCTAAACCTTGTGAACAGCCTTCCCAGAAGAGTTGAAGTTGTTATAGCTGCAAAGGGTGGGCCTACGCAATATTGATCCCTATGGACTAAGACTGGGATGCCATTAAAGTTCATGTGTGTGTAAAGGCAGGCGTCCCAATACTTTTGGCAATATAGTGTATCCATGGCTCAAACAGGGTAGAGTGACTGCATAGCATAGTCTGTATAGGACTCTATAACAACAGAGAGTCTACTTCAGTAAAACAGTGCAGACCACAAGCAGCTACAGTTGCAATAAAAAGTATGTGAACCCCTTGGTATTACGTGGAGTTTTGCATGAATTGGGCATAAAATGTGCTCTGAACGTCATCTAAGTCACAACAATAGAAGAACACAGTCTGCTGAACATAATACTACACAAACATTAGATGTTGCCATGGTTTAATTGCACATAACATGTAAACATTCACAGAGCAGGGAGGAAAAAGTATGTGAATCGTTGGACTTAATAACTGGTTGACCCTCCTTTGGCAGCAATAACCTCAACCAAACGTTTCCTGTAGTTGCAGATCAGACCTGCACAACGATCTGGAGTAATTTTGGACCACTCCTCTTCACAAAACTGTTTCAGTGTAGCAATATTCTTGGGATGCCTGGTGTGAATCCTTCTCTTAAGGTCATGCCACAGCATTTCAATCGGGTTGATTTGCCCACACAGCTGCATCATTCATTCACAGTGGTGTGTGAATGATTGAACTCCAACTACCATCATCCATTGCAGCTGACGGCTTGCAGTTCTCAATAAATTGCAAGGACATTAATGAGCACTTGTAAACAATCAGCCATATCGAAGATATGGGCCGAAAGCTGCAGGGTTTGTCTGCATCATCACGTAGTGTAATGCTTTGCAGGCTCCTGAGGAAAAAAATATATAAATGGATTCTGCCAACCTGTCAGGAATGGACTGGCCAGCAATGGTGGGACTCACCTGCCTTATGGGCTGCAGTACCAGGGCTGGCCAGCGGGTGCTCCCAGCAATCAGAGACTCAACCTTGCAGCCAGCCAAACACCTGAAACTGCTTATGCTGGTGTATTTAAGGGATGGCCAGACCTGCAGACTCGGCCTTGGTGTGTGTGTTTTTCCTGGGCCCTGTATCTTGTAATCCTGCATTCTTTTTCCTGTTCCTGTGTTCCTGCTAGTACGTTTCCTTGTTGCCAAACTCTGCCTGTTCTGATTACGCTGACCCTCTCCTGCTCTGACCCCGGCTCGTTCCTGACCATCCCTCTGCCTGACCCTCTGTACCACGCTGCCCGCTACCTGCTGAACCTGGCTTGTGACCCCGACCATTCTCCGCTTGCTCCCCTGTACCTACCTGCCCGATTGTTATTGACCCGGCCTGCCTGACGACGCTTCCATTGTATGTACTGTTATCTGTGGGTGGTTGGTTTGGTTTGTTTGCACTGTGTTATGTTTTAGTATTGCACTGCGTTTATGTTTGTATTGTTAGTCTTTAATAAATTATATTGTTTATAACTTATCTGAAGCCTGCGTTTCCCTGCGTCAGTCACATACCTCTGGTCATACCCTGGAGCCCTGACATTACACCAAGGCCAATCCTGACCAGAAGTGGCTGCACAGGGAAGCCATCTTGGTTTGTTGATGGGAAGGATGGATCTTGATGAGGTTGTGTATTTATATCTGCTAGTGTTTGATGACAGAGAATATGCTTATCAGACTCTGAAGGAGTATCCCCGGGATGAACTGCTAGAATGTATACGGCTCGCTCATGTTCTAGTAGATCAGGGCACAGAATTCTCTGAGGTGCAGCCATTGATTCAGGTTTGTGCGAGTTGGCTTCATCTGGTTCCCCCGAATGCAGGGATGAATTTTTGCCGCCATTTAGTGCAGACCAGGTAGAGTCCCTGGTGTGGTTATTAGAGGATGATGTGGATTACTTTCTGGAGCGTTATTCTGCATGTTCACCACAGATACTAAGAGATTGTATAAACGCAGTGCAGTCATTGACCAGACAGGCTTTGTGTAAGCTGAGCTTTGTTCAACCCATACTGCAGACATGGACAGATTTGTTGCACCCAGCCTCAGTCAGCTTGCAAAAACCCAGTCCTGCTTCTAATCTATTTCCTCAAAGCTCTATTCCTGCATTCCCAACAGCTCCTCCTGCCCTGCTATCTACCGCATGTCAGTACCCTGTTCCCACTCGCTGCACCTATCCTGCCTTTAACCCTGTAAAGAAGTCCTCTGTAGCAACTGTTCACTCCCCTGTTCCATCCTCCAGCTCTTCTCTGTCTCCAGCTGATCCAGCCTGATGATCCTATTAGGCCAGTTGACCCGATGCCCGCTGTCGAGCCAGACGATCCAATGCCTGGTGACCCGGTGCCCACTGCCTTGCCAAATGACGCGGTGCCCGCTGGCAAGCCAGATGACCTGATGCCTGGTGACCCAGTGCCCACTGTCATACCTGGTGACCCGATGCCCACTGTCGAGCCAGACAATCCGGTACCTGATGACCCGGTGCCCGCTGTCGTGCCAATTGACTCAGAGCCCACTGTCGTGCCTGGTGACTTGGTGCCCACTGCCTTGCCAGATGACGCGGTGCCCGCTGGCAAGCCAAATGACCTGATGCCTGGTGACCCAGTGCCCACTGTCATACCTGGTGACCCGATGCCCGCTGTCGAGCCAGACAATCCGGTACCTGATGACCCGGTGCCCGCTGTCGTGCCAATTGACTCAGAGCCCACTGTCGTGCCTGGTGACTTGGTGCCCACTGCCTTGCCAGATGACGCGGTGCCCGCTGTTGAGCCAAATGACCTGATGCCTGGTGACCCGATGCCCGCTGTCCAGCCAGACGATCCAATGTCTGACCCAGTGCCCGCGGTCATGCCAGTTGACTCGGAGCCCACTGCCTTGCCAGATGACGCGGTGCCCGCTGTCGAGCCAAATGACCTGATGCCTGGTGACCCGATGCCCGCTGTCCAGCCAGACGATCCAATGTCTGACCCAGTGCCCGCGGTCATGCCAGTTGACTCGGAGCCCACTGCCTTGCCAGATGACGCGGTGCCCGCTGTCGAGCCAAATGACCTGATGCCTGGTGACCCGATGCCCGCTGTCCAGCCAGACGATCCATTGTCTGACCCAGTGCCAGCGGTCATGCCAGTTGACTCGGAGCCCACTGTCGTGCCTGGTGAGTCGGTGCCTGTCGCTCCGCCTGGGGGTCCGGCGCCCGCCGCTCCGCCTGGGGGCCCGAGACCTGTTGCTCCGCCTGGGGGTCCGGCGCCCGCCGCTCTGCCTGGGGGCCCGAGACCTGTCGCTTCGCCTGGGGGCCCGATGCCTGACGCCCCTCCTGGGGGCCCGGCACCTGTCGCCCCGTCTGGGGGCCCGATGCCTGTCGCCCCGCCTGGGGGCCCGATGCCTATCGCCCCGCCTGGGGGCCCGATGCCTGTCCCCGCCTGGGGGCCCGATGCCTATCGCCCCGCCTGGGGGCCCGATGCCTGTCGCCCCGCCTGGGGGCCCGATGCCTGTCGCCCCTCCTGGAGGCCCGGCGCCCGCCGCCCCGCCTGGGGGCCCGATGCCTGTCGCCCCTCCTGGGGGCCCGATGCCTGCTGCTCCGCCTGGGGGCCCGGTGCCTGCTGCTCCGCCTGGGGGCCCGGTGCCTGCTGCTCCGCCTGGTGGCCCGCTGCCTGCTGCTTCTCCTGGTGATCCGATGTGCCTCTGCCCGGAGTCCAGCCCGATGTGCCTCTGCCCGGAGTCCAGCCCGATGTGCCTCTGCCCGGAGTCCAGCCCGATGTGCCTCTGCCCGGAGTCCAGCCCGATGTGCCTCTGCCCGGAGCCCAGCCCGATGTGCCTCTGCCCGGAGTCCAGCCCGATGTGCCGCTGCCCGGAGTCCAGCCCGATGTGCCTCTGCCCGGTGTGCCTCTGCCCGGTGTGCCGCTGCCCGGTGTGCCGCTGCCCGGTGTGCCTCTGCCCGGAGTCCTGCCCGGTGTGCCGCTGCCCGGAGTCCTGCCCGGTGTGCCAGTCTTTGATATCCTGCCAGTTACCAGACCCGGGGGGTGGAACATTTTGCCCAGCTAGGACTGTTTGGAGCGTCCTGAGGCCGCTCCTTGAGGGGGGGTACTGTCAGGAATGGACTGGCCAGCAATGGTGGGACTCACCTGCCTTATGGGCTGCAGTACCAGGGCTGGCCAGCGGGTGCTCCCAGCAATCAGAGACTCAACCTTGCAGCCAGCCAAACACCTGAAACTGCTTATGCTGGTGTATTTAAGGGATGGCCAGTCCTGCAGACTCGGCCTTGGTGTGTGTGTGTTTTTCCTGGGCCCTGTATCTTGTAATCCTGCATTCTTTTTCTTGTTCCTGCTAGTACGTTTCCTTGTTGCCAAACTCTGCCTGTTCTGATTACGCTGACCCTCTCCTGCTCTGACCCCGGCTCGTTCCTGACCATCCCTCTGCCTGACCCTCTGTTCCACGCTGCCCGCTACCTGCTGAACCTGGCTTGTGACCCCGACCATTCTCCGCTTGCTCCCCCTGTACCTACCTGCCCGATTGTTATTGACCCGGCCTGCCTGACGACGCTTGCATTATATGTACTGTTATCTGTGGGTGGTTGGTTTGGTTTGTTTGCACTGTGTTATGTTTTAGTATTGCACTGCGTTTATGTTTGTATTGTTAGTCTTTAATAAATTATATTGTTTATAACTTATCTGAAGTCTGCGTTTCCCTGCGTCGGTCACATACCTCTGGTCATACCCTGGAGCCCTGACACAACCATTGACTATGTCACAAATGGGCTCTACCTATGAAGGTATGCCGGGGCAGCACACAAACCTGATATAGGGACTAGGGATGTAGGGAAAGAACTGTATTGCACTTTGAAGTTTGTTATGGTCAGAAGTTTTCAGTAAAGCATTTAAACTTTGCCTTTTGCCTGGTCTGAAGTTACTAAAGGAGTGTGAGTAAGCAGTACACATAGTCTATAACCTGGGTCAGTAACACATTGGGGTATAAAAACAGAAAGTGGTTACCAAGGGTAACAGAAACCATCAATCAGTAAAGCAGCCTGTTGTTAAGCATGTACCTGTGACATGTACGACATCCTCTTGTAAGGAGGGAGTGTTGTTGCCACATCTTCCATGGCAGTCTGTCTCCCATAGCAATGGGAGCAGATCAGTGCTCAGAGGTTCCCAGTCTGCGCACTGTGTATGGCAGAAGAAGAGTTAAGTGAGTGCACACATGGAGCCTATGCTAGGTACACAGCAGAGTAAACGAAACTTTCGTCGTGTTTTTTTTAGCTTCTCCTTTAGGCATTGTTCAATACTCTGTTTTATGTCCTGTCCCACATCATAACAAAACAGGATCAGGATACGGCTAGCGGCTGATATATTAGGCTTGTACTATAAACACACTACAAGGATATTTCTCTCTTCACTCCCCTTATCTGCATTGTCTCCAGGATTTAATGAATGTTTCTATTGGCCGCTGGTGCCTCAAGAACTTTTGGACACTAAAGAAAAGACAGTGAAATAGGACTATCAAATGTTAGCTCATTGACACAACTTCAATCATCAAAAGCTGCAATCACATATGCTTTGTGCTAATGCAAAAATGCATGTTTCTGTACGGGTATATGTGCAGTGTGGTGTGCTGTAATTCATTTTAAATAGCATTCAAATGCACATATAATGTACTAAAATTTGGCATGTCACAACATTTAGATGCGTTATGATGCTGTGGTATATCTACCCTGAGGACGTCATGTGTCAAGCATTTCCGGGTGCGCGGTGACGTCACTTCTGGTGTGGGGGCCATATTGGAACACCTTTGTGATACCCATGCAGTACACCTCTAGCATGAGGTGATATAGCGTTGTACAGAGAAGAAGGAGCATGTGAGTGGGCATTTTCTATGTTATTGTATATACATGATGGATTAAAATAGATTACACTATGGAAGATCTTGTTTATCTATGATCCTGGGAGAGGTTTGCTGTGCACTATACGGAGGCTTGGAGTGAGCAGCGCATACTACCCTGAGGAGAGCCTGTGAGGAATCTGCCCTTAATAGGATTGGTGTAATCCTCTGAGCGAGCTGACCCTGTGGGGTCGATGTAAGGAGGTGAGGGGCATTTTGGCCACTAAAGGATTATCACGTATTGGTCACTTACACAGTTACTTGCATGAGAGTCGAGTTGTTGCACTATTATTGGATACATATATTGTATATATACACCGTTTGTGGACTTATTTATGAAGATTTACAGTATGTTTTATGATATATCTCTATTGATTTTTTGTGTGTTTTACTATTGTATTATATGACAATATATATCACTTGCACTTGTTATATTCCCACTGAGGGATTTCGCATGACCAGATGAGTCCAGGATTGCCTTGCCTCCAGCAGTCTGGAAAGCTTCAGCAGGAGATACTTTATACTTGTGAAATGCGAGCCTTCTACCAAGCTACTGTGAGTTGATATATGCTTTTTTAATAAACCTGATAACATGATTTACTGCAAAGCGCTACTGTTTTCTTCCATTTATACCGGCTACAGAAGAGCTTCATCCCTGACAGCTGGCTGCTAAACGCTGAGCTGCGGTCCTGTGGATTCAGTTTATATGAACTTTTTTTTGAGGACTATAGACAATATCCCTATCATCCCTATACTTTAGTCCCCCTTGTGGGCATTATTTATTTCAGTAGCATACCCCTGCCATTCCTAGCACCGCTATTTATTATATCCTCATCATGACTTAACAGGTTGTGGCTCTATTGCCTCCTCTGACTCTGGAGGATCATAGAATCTTCCAGAAGTTGGTAAGCAGGAAGGGGTGGAGACCTAATCTGCATGTTTACGGCCAATCCCAGGTTTGGAGGCCCTGTTAGAGTGGTGGACTGGCCCATAAATATGGGAAAGTCAGGCTGACAGATGAGTCAGGTGGAAGATGGAGTGCTGAGGAGACTGTCGGTGCCTGGGAAGGGTACCCTAGATCTGGGGGGGGGTGGCGGCCTCCAGGATGGTCTCAGGCTGGCTTGGGAGGATTCATTGAGCATTGTAGCTTGAATGGGATTGAGACCTGAAGCAGCAAGGAGCAAAAAGGACAGAGAGAGTACAGCAGCACTCTCTGGGATCTACAAAGGGAAAGACTGCCACAAGGATATAGGATTGAGCCAAGCGCTGTCCTTAGAAAGCTTGCTATGTAGCAAGCTTTCTAAGGACAGCGCTTGGCTCAATCCTATATCCTTGTCCCGGGAGATCTTCCGAGAAGCCAGGAGGGCTGGTAGTGTCTGCAGGCTGTGGAGCTGGGAGCAGCTGTACAGGGGGAGAAAAGATTTCCCTACGTGTAGTTATGAGAAATTGAGCTGATTTTTAAGGGGTTGCTAGTTCCTCACCCATAAAGGGCTATTGCTACTGATCCGCAACAACTGATGGCTTTCAAGAAAAGAACAGTGCAGAATCTGCCTTTGTACATTTGAAAGGAAGTTGTCCACCCTTCATTGATTCAAGTCAACTTGGCATCCCATAATCCCTATGTCCCTATCCAAGTTGATTTCTCCTAATAAAACAACAAAACCAAGCCCACGGACTGGTTACTGTCTCTATGATGCAAGTCTGTGTGAGAAATAACTGTTGCCTAGCTGTGCAGAGAGAAGCTTAGGGGTACCCACAACACAGTGGCCCTTACAAGGGTAGCGCTACACATTCAACTGCAAACTACAAGTGTACACCGCTTTAATCAACAACCTGTATTTAAAGACTACCATGAACCACCAATTTAATATAGCGCTACTCCCACAGGGGCCGCTTGATAATGCTTGTTCCCAGTGGTTGCCCTGACCTGGCAATCCTCCCAACACCTCTGACACTCTGGGTTCAGACATATTTTAACACTATGAAATAAGAATGACACAACACAATTATTTAGTAACATTTCTATATTAGGGTCATTCAAAAGGGGTAAACCACAGAATGAAGGTTTAGGAGGTACATTCCTAGTTAATGCATAAAAGCAAAACACTGATAAAATGGAAATAACCAAATAGCAACGGTTAACAGTTTATATGGTTACAAATGGTACATTGTAACTAGGTAACTGCAACACCAGAAGCAGGAGGGAAAAAGAAAAGGCTTGTTGACTTATCAGCTCCCTCCGGGCCACAGGCATCACAATAGGGAAAGCAAAGCATTATGTAAATATACATATATTAATATTATATATATATATATATATATATATACACACTCTAGCATAAAATGAGTATAGACACCCTCATTTGAATAACAATGCCTTAGATGCGAAGAGGTCCCTTTAACCAGAAATAGCAACTTGAGTCCTGAAATGTTTAAAGTTTCTGATGTGACAGTAGTTGTTGTCTTCTGCTAGCAATGGTGGGGTCCATATACAGTAGTGAGTAATAGTAATTCAATGAAGATAATAGATAAACTGTGGTAAATGCTCATAGCAAAGATCTCTTGTTACTAAAGTATAAAGGTGTCTTTATTGTCTTTAGAGTGTTATCAGAAAGAGGTTGGGCATCGGCCCACTCACCAATCCCATGGATAACATGGCGTCTCAGGAACAGGGTTCTCACACAGGCACTTGACTGTTTGCAGAGCAGTGCAGAATTACTGCCTGACAGCCTGTCAGCACAGCAAGCAGAGATGACTGGCTGAAGACTAGATAGTGA